GCGACAGCCCACCTGGGCAAAGCTGCGCAGGTTGCACACGGCAGCTGCAGGGACGTGTACACAGCGCACACACGCTGCCATCACCTCCAGCGTGCACGGGCCTCGGCAGGGGCAGCAAGGCAGAGCAGGAGCCGATGCCAAGGGAGAGGCACAGGCCACCGACCCCGCTGTGAACAGCAGACAGGGGTGCAGAGGAGGACAGGACAGCAGGGCCACGCGGGGCCCTCTAGCAACTTGCAGATAAGCACATCAGTCATTTCCACCCCCTTTTCTAGCCCACTAACATCCCTCAACTCTGCTGCAGAAGTGATCTTTCCGAAGGCTGGGTTTCTAAGCCTTTTTCAGCTACAACCTGCTCCTATCTCCAGGCAGCCAGCCCAGATAACGAGCGTGATGACAATCTGGATAATTAAAAGTGACCCCCACCCCACACAGCAATCAGCTTATTTGTCACACCACAACTCGATATAGCCACGCTGCCTCCTAAGAACAGCTATAATCTCTCCCTAGCAACTACCCTGGCAGCTTGCACCTGAAACTCAGCCTGTGCACTGCAAGCGTGAGCACTGCTGTGGTGAAGCAGAGACCCCAGTCAGCCTTGTATGGTACAGACAACCCAAAAGTCTGTCCAATCTGCACATGGCACTGACTTTGTTAAGTCTCTGAACTCTTCTTTCCAAAAGCAGCAAACAGTGGCTCTAAAAAGCTCTGAATGCCAGTTTCTAAGATGCAACTTGCCCTGCTACCCACATAGCAACACGATTCAGCTCAAACGAGGATGACTGCAGGAAGCTCAACTTGTCTGCTCTATATATGGCACTCTTCAGCTTGGTAACAGCTAATTTAATTCTCAAAAATAAACTCTGGATTGAGGATGTACTGAATATTAGCATTAAATTGCACTGGTTTGAGGTTTAGCATGGGAGACTACTACCGTGCAGGGAGCATGGAGGGTGTTTTGCCCAGCGACACCAAGCCAAGCTCGCAATACCTCCGTGCTAATGCTGGAGGAGCGCTTTGTTCTTGCCTCAGTCACACAGCCACGGGGC